TTTCCCTCTTCTTGGTAATTCTTAGAGCCTAAAACCAGCAGTTTAAGGACACTTGTTTTTTGGGAGGGTTGAGTCTTTTTTTGGAGAGTTCGGGGTTTTTTTCTTTTCTTTTTAAGGGACTATCTACTTTTGCACAATGTAGTAAACCTTACAGAATGCAGCTGTTGAGTCTGGGTTATGTAAATCCAGAAAGAATATAATTTCACTTAAAATCATGAGCTTTGTCGTGTGGTGGTGTGTGAAGTTCTTTGCCTGACACCATCTGAATATTCAGGCAACAGCTGGTGCTGAAGATATAATTGACTCCTAGCAACTTATTTGTCACTTGTACTATCAATATCCTTCATAGAAAAAGTACTAAAAAAAGGAAGAGGAGAACATTACCTTCACTGAATCTATATTTATACCTTCAACACTTCCTGAGACATCAAATCAAACTGTTGATCAGAGCCCTGGGAGGAAGGAATCTCTCCATGCCCGAGGTTCATTTAGTGAGCTCTGGTACCTTCTGCTACTTTACTCATCCTCTCTTGTAGGTGCCCCTTACTGGAAATAATAACTAAATAGAGCAGCCCCTGCTTCCTCAGTAAAAGTGAAGAACCAGTGCTGTTACCCTGCTCACAGTCACAGTCGCTCCTAGGCAAGCAGCAGACCCCCGAGGGTACAATAATGTGATTGTCTCCTTGGCTAAGGTGTATCTGTCAGACATCAGCCTCACCAAGAGGGGTCTTCTCCTGTAAGACAGAAGAAACTGCTCCGCTGACCTCTGCTTCTTGCAGCACAGCTCACACATGTCATCCCTTATATCCTTCAATACATGTTTCCTTTAGGAACAAAACATGCACATTCTTAAAATACTCGTTGTACCTGATTGGGTAATCAGCAGCACTGAGGTTAATGAAGAAATCCCATGGCCAGTCATTCATTTCCATTAAGTCCCTCATGGTCTGTAGGTAGGTAGACAGAAGACTTGCTCCTCCCCAGATCGTTGCCATTCTCCAAGAAGTGACTCTCACATTTGGGTACTGGTTGGCAAACTGGAGCACTTGCCGGTGCAAGTAATTGGATCGCTTTACAGGAGAAAAAATTAATACACTCAAGTTACTCCGTCCAAAATTGTCACTCACTGTATTCACTAACCACCAACTCTACTTCTTGACTCACTGAGCATTGCTATTGCTTTGCCCTCACTTACTATGGTGCACAACCTGCTTTTTCTAAATACTAATTTGAAAATGTGCAGAGATGCCTGTTTAATTCTTTTTATTAACTACAATAATCACTAATCAGCGCAACTAGCTCTTATTTATAATTTGTCATCAGTAGACCCTGAAGGCCTTTTGTAAAGGAGGTGACTGTTACTACCTCCTTTTTACAGTGTGAAGTAAAGTAACTTGCCCAAGGCACCTTGGGTCAGCTCTCCATCCAGCGGGCCACCACTGACAGTCTCCAACAGCTTATCAATTTCTGTTAACTAAATGTACAACAGACCGACTTGGACAGATACTCATAGACATATAAGGAGAAATGAAAGCTGTTACATAGAGAAGATAACATGAAAGAAAACAAAAAAAGAGGCTCCAAACATATAACAGATGGAGAGACAAAAAGTGACATGCATTCTATGCAGCAGAGGTAAAGAGATGAAGAAGATGACAAAGATGGGTAGACTGACAGATGGCGAGACAGGCAATTTATAATCAGTGATATATTACCTTGTCAACATGAATGTAATAAAAATGGTCTTTATGGTAAATAGCCTTAAACATGCGTTGGAGCTGCCGAGAAGCTCTGCCATGAACAACCAAGACAAATGCGATCCTGACTGGGTTGGCTGGCATGTATTCTACGGAGTCCTCATCCCACTGTACATTGTTGTTGGCTTTGCCTGTTTGAAAACAAAACACAGGACATCTCTGAGTGTATCCACAGGGCAGGGGTGAAGAGAGCAGTACATATTTCACCTTGGCTCTTTCTTCAAAAGCAATTTCTAAGGGGAAGTGAGAACTCACGAGGGGTGCAAGTCTGTATGCCATCAAGACTGCAGGCCCTCACCTCTGTCACCATACAGTGTGATCATCCCATGGGCAGCAGCCACGACAGCCTTTCCCACACAGCCCTGCCTGCATGTCTCAACCTGGACAAGGCTGCATGAACACAGGTGAGTACCCAAATGTTTATGAGTCGGACTGAGCTCTACACACATTTGCATCTTCAAAGGAATCACCTCAAAATTTCTAAGCACTGTTAAAAGTATTTGAAAAAAGGCATGGGCAAATTCACCCCTGTTCCACCAGAAATTAAGCCCCTCATTTATCAGAAGATGTTCGTTCTGTGATCAGCGCAGCTCTGCTGGGATGCTGGTGAAACTCTGCTACTTAACAGCTGCTGAGGATAGTCTTGACTGATAGCAGTTATTTGTAACAGCAGATGTATCCTGGAACATTTAAATGGCAAATGTGCGTATCTTCACTTCTGTACGTAGGAGAGGGGGTCTTACAATCCTATTTAAAATTTATGTTCATTTTTATTTTAATGGAGGAATTTCTGGTCTCCATTTTCTAAAACAAACACCACAGTGTAAGGTTAAGACAGGATGTACTGATTAACAGAAGAGCTGGAGGGAAATTTTTACTCAGGAATTTAAAGTGCTTTGTTTTGGGTTTGTGTAACAGCACTTCAACTCAAAAACCTGAACACAAAGTAGGAAAAACCTGATTCATTCCTCAAACAACCTCTTGAATGCTCCTACCTTGTAAGGATCTTTCTCAACAAAAATTATTTAGGAAGAACCTGAAGTTCTGACTATAAGCAGAACAAGGAAGTAAACTGATCAAAGTGAGTGAGTAAAGATCAAAAAACCCCTCCTGGTCCAATTTTCATCTTGCATATTTCTTTTTTCTTTTATAAACGAAAGGCAGTATCTTTGTCTCAAAAATAACTTAGCTCCCCCTCAAGTTATAATTTTTCTAAGTCCTAAGATCGGAGTTGTTACTTTAGTTTATTTCCTCTAAAAGGTAAATCCATTTGACAATCTTGCAAAGTCTGAACTTCTGATTATGTTGAAAATAAGTATTTAATTATTGGAAATGCATGTGAACATGGTCAGGACTCAAATGTTTATCTTTCAAATAAAGGTTTGGAAATGGGCATGCAAGAGCTGAAACAGCTAAAAGCAGCAGCTACAATCATGTATGAGAACATTAACACGCCTGCCTTCAACCATACACAATATTTTGGCCAAACAGGGTACTTCAAACTGAGTACACACCTATGTTCTCAATAAATAACCAGCTCAGAAAAACTCCCCAACCAGGACAGCAACCACAGCTGGGACAAGATTTTTAACCTGCTTTGTTTGAAAGTGCTGTCTCCTCTGCCCTCCCAGAAGAACAACAGAATTGGGGTTTGCACTCTTTTACAGGAACTACTGATGACCTTTATTTTTTCCTCACCCTCAGAAAAGCTTTTTTTCCCTACCTTCTCAACAAGAGCCTGGTGAGCCAATCAAGCATCCAACTGAGTTAGAGATAAATTGATGCCATTTAGCAGATTCCAGGTGTCCTGGGCAGATATTCATACTGTTAAGAGGTTAGAATCTTCTAACTGACTCAAATTTGAAGGAGACTCAGGAAAGGAACCTCAGCAAACGGGAGTGTAAGAGGTGGATCTTCTGACAGCTAACGAAACTCTCAGGTTTGAAAGAAATGTGAAACCCTGAGGAGCTCCCAGCTCAACTGCCCTCTTTCCAACTTGTCATGGATACTCTGCTCCTTCCTAAAAACACTGAGGAAGGCATCTGGGTAAGTTGTACCCAGATCTTGCACTAGTGCCTTTTGGGTTGCCCCCATTCCCCTCCCACCTCCACGTACCCACCATCATCTCAGGACCTCTTTCACAGCCAGTGGGGACACAACAAGCTTGTGCTAGGTTGCAGGATGGACTTGAGGCTGCCCCTGGGCACAGTTACCAGACAGTGTGATGACAGCCATGAAGTTCACTGCGCCTTCCAAAACATCTCCCACAGTTACTAAAAATACGTGCTCCTATCTGTCTGATTTGATAAAAGGAACAAGAAATAAGACATTTGCCAGGAGTAAAGAGCGAGTGAGCGAAAGGGAAAGTCACTTTCCTGGGTTTTGGAAACTGGAAACGTAAGTTGCTAAAAGTAAACAATACTTAAAGCTTTCTTTTTTGAAATGTATTAATTACAAAACAGAAGTTGGACATAGTAAAAAAAGGCTTTTGCCTAATCCTTGTTGTTGCATCTTTTCCTTATTAAAGGGAGTAGTGTGAACTGAGAAAAAGCAGACAAACTGAAAGTCTGCAGAGCACTGTTTCAGGTTACCTAAACAATTTGATCCCCTTAATTTTACTGAAATTCTCTTGAGTATTACTCAAGAAACCCTGCTTTTAGACAATCACAGGAGAGAGATCCTGCTGGAATGGGAGCAGCACAACCCAGAAAGGGATGGCTTCAACATCTCTCATAACCTTCCCTTCAGGTTTCTCTTCCTCAGCAGTGCTTCCCTAGCACGCTTGCTTTAAGTCAGAAAGAATCTGTTTTTTCCATCGTGGAGGTCCAGGAAAGCTATGTGTGTAAGAGGCGTACCCAGTCTCTGGAATAAGGCTCTCTGTGAGACTATGTAAGGTACTAAAAGGCAGCTATGTGCCTAGCCAGGAACAACACAGATACTGAGCACTGAAGACCCTATGAAGTCCCAGAGGCTCCGAGCCCCATGTAAAACACCATTGCCTCTCTGCAGCCCCTCAAGGAACATCTATCTGTAGTAGTATTGCTCATAAATTAATGCGACTTTATTGCCCCCAGTTGTATTCAGACTACCTATCAGGAAATTTCTACCCTTAACTTTAAATGGGACACAAACAACTTAAATGGTATCCCTTTAAAAAAAAACTCCACCACTAATTGAATCAGACTTGGATGAATAGCATTGAAATATTAGAAAAAAGCTTAAATTTAATTTCTTCTGTCATTTTCAGTTTGTTCATTATGGTCATTTGCCTATGCTCAGTTCTGCTGTTTCTCCTGTGTGGCTGATGAGCTTCCCAATGCGCGTGCTTAGGCCTCCTGCACAGCAACAGGGACAGAAACAGACTGTGACAGAAAGAAAATGTGCTTGCAAGGAGAACTGACAGTGGAATGAAGGGCAATTGCAATTGCTAAAACAACCAATTTTTCTTTTAAACTGCTTTGATTTCAAGCTGATGATGTCCCATCAATGGACTCAAATATTTTTAGTGGTTTTCACTACATTTTTGGATGCCTCTCTTCTGAAATTAGTGGCTTTCTACAATGATATGTAGAAGGTGAGGAGAATTTAAAATAGCCCTATTGTGGGTCTTTTTTTTTAAACTAGCTTGCTTTCAATACCCACACTATAATTTATCTGGCAATTATTGAGAATAAAATCCTCCCAAATTTTCATCTGAAATGCCACCTCACTTCATCGGATTTCTCTAATAAATTCCTGTAGTGACTTATTTTCCTTTCTGCTATTTTCCTACCCTAACCTCTTTTTCCACATGTTCCTTCCTTGTTTCTCTTTTAGGCTCAGGTTTTTATAGTCCCATTTTCCACCTGCATACTATTATGGCTTCTTTAATCTAATCCTATTCTTGCCTGCCTGGAATTTCATGAAGGTAAGAATGTTCTATTTTTTCCATATGTCAGAATATCTGCTACTTCTGTTCTGTACTGCTACTTCCTTGGTTTTAGTCCGTGGCTGATTAGCACGCTCTATTTTGCAGACTATGCCACTGATAAAGAACCCACCTGGTTTGCAAATAAGATAAAATTGGCAGGAAAAATTCAACTGAGTATCTCTACCAAAAAATACAGTAGGACTTCTGTGATTCTGTGACTTCAGAGCTGTATAAACCATGCCAAGATTTGAATAGCCCTAACCACCGCATGTCTGTAAAACTTTTCATGCAAATGCATTCCAAAGTCTTGCATACCATATTAATGGCCCATCTCTCACATAGGAGCACAGCCCCTTCTGGGTGTTAGGACAGAAGACACAGAAGATGTACCAGATGGTTTCACTTAACATCATACCATTCAGTAGTGATAAAAATGTAAAAAGGAATTCAAGGCAACACTTGCATTCGATAGCTACTCCAGTGCCATCACCACATTGCCATTTGCCACATGCACTAAAGCTCACAGCGGGTGCTAATTTAAGTGGCCTCCACCCTCAGCCACTTCAGTTGAACAAAAAATAGTCCCGAACAGCCCTTGACAATATTTCTACCTCTCTTCACTTTTCTCCTGCTCCCCCATCAGGCACAGAGGAGTCCCGGGCAGCTCCCTTCCTCCGCAGCACTCCCTACACTCAGCCTTCACTAACACTTGTCACCTCTCCACGTTCACTGCCTGCCTTTCTGAGAAAAATGAGTTAAGCCAAGACAGGAGAATTCCCATCTTCTCCTGCTCCAGTTGCTTGGGGCAATCTCAGCGGGCCTGGAGCTGCACCCCATTTCACCTAGAAAGCTTCTCTGAGCATGCATGAATCCAGATTCATCCCCCATTTCTAACTGCTGTTAGTGTCAGCAATGCCTGTCAAGTGAACTTCCCATTTAAGGAATTCTCTTTTTCTACCGTAAGAGCAGATTGCTCTTTGATAATGTAAAAAGCCCACGATGTTAATACAAGGTAATACAAAAGCCCTGAAAAATAGTACGTAACACTTGCATCTTGTGCACACAGCTCTAGTCTTGGAAATAGCTTTGCATGCATGAGTGAGTGGGGAGAGCGAATGGAGACAGCGAATGGAGTAACCTTTTTACTGCGTTTGGTGCTAGTAACACAGTAGCTCTGGCCTGGAAGCAGGAGGACTTACACTTCCTTAAAGTTTGTCATTT